CAGGAAGGGAACCTTTGTGTCTGCCCTGTACAGTTCCCATGGGTGGCTCTGGCATAAAAGAAAACGGAATGAAACAGCACTTACTATTAGTTGTATACATGCAATGTAGGCATTCTGAGGACACGCACCAACAGCCCCATGTCCTCAGGAAGTTTGAAAGCTCTGAAACTGTCAACTTCCTCCAGAAGCTGGGAGGTTAATTTCTAGGCCACACAGCTTCTCTCTCTGAGCCCAAGACCAGGCATAGAGAGATCTGAACATGTGACAAAAGCCTCTCTTCTGTCTCGTTGTCCATGGAACACTAGGTCTATCATTTTATTTTGATCTAAACTGTCCTTTCACCAGTTTTCCCAGCTCATAAAAGCTGAATCAGGCTCTTTCCCACTATACACGATGGCAGGCGATCAAGCTACAAAGCAGGATACTAAGGAGAAGAAACCTGAAGCCAAGAAGGCTGATGGCAGTGGCAAAGTTAAAAAGGGTGACCCCAAGGCTAAAAAGCCCGCCCAAGAAGGGGAAGCCCTATTCCAGCCGAAACCCTGTCCTAGTCCGGGGCATAGGCAGATACTCCCAGTCTGCCATGTATTCCTGGAAGGCCATGTAGAAGAGGAAATACTCGGGGGCCAGCAGTTAGCTTAATGGCTACGTCACTGGACTCCCATGTAGTCGACCATGGTTCGGGTCCCGGACCTGGTGGCTTAAACTCACGCCGGGCGCATGTGCGTGCATGCCCAAGATCCCGAGAGGAGAATGGAGGAGAAGGGATTGTGTCATGGCCATCCCCCCTGGAGGGTGATTTCTTGCTTTCTGTCTCTCTGTCTGTATCTGTCTGTCTGGTGAGCGCACGCACCCTATACCAAAAAAGCCTCTCAAAAAAATAATAATAATAAATAAAAAGAGGAAATAATCAGTCACTAAATCCAGGATCAAAAAAAAAAAAAGGAGAAGGTTCTTGCGACTGTCACAAAACCGGTTGGTGGAAATAAGAATGGTGGTACCCGGGTGGTTAAACTGCTCAAAATGCCTAGGTATTATCCTACTGAAAATGTGCCTCAAAAGCTGTTGAGCCATGGCAAAAAACCCTTCAGTCAGCATGTGAGACAGCTGTGAGCCAGCATCACTCCTGGGACCATTCTGATCATCCTCACTGGACGCCACAGAGGCAAGAGAGTGGTTTTCCTGAAGCAGCTGAGCAGTGGCTTGCTACTTGTAACTGGACCACTGGTTCTCAATCAGGTTCCACTGCGTAGAACACACCAGAAATTTGTCATTGCCACCTCCACAAAAATTGATATTAGCAAAGTAAAAATCCCAAAGCACCTTACCGATGCTTACTTCAAGAAAAAGAAACTGCGGAAGCCCAGACACCAGGAAGGTGAGATCTTCGACACAGAGAAGGAGAAATACGAGATTTCAGAGCAGCGCAAGGTTGATCAGAAAGCTGTGGATTCGCAAATTTTACCAAATATCAAAGCTGTTCCTCAGATCCAGGGCTACCTGCGATCCCTGTTTGCCCTTACAAATGGAGGCTATCCTCACAACTTGGCGCT